AGTTTCTTGCAGATATTTTTTTTCATGTATTTAGTACAGGGTCTAAAGGGTCTCACTACACAGATTGGACTTGTAGTGATCTTCCTGTTTTCAGCCTCCCAAGTGCTAGGCTTACAGGCACGCACCACCATGCCCAGTCTTAATCACTGTCTCAGCATGCCCCGGGACAGGGCTGGCAAGGCATGCTTGGGATCGAACCCCAGCCTCTGGGCTCTGCCAACAGGTGCTTTAGTCTGCTGAGCTATTTGGCCGGCCCTTCTTCCAGATATTTCCTTGCTTAAGCTACTTGCCAGTGGGTAACACAGAGAGGGAAGTACTGATCCAGAAATTAACCACTGACTTTTCCCAAATGTATCCTGCTACTTCAGTCTTTCTCCACAAATAATGACCTCTGAATTAGGAAAAGCTTCCTTATAGGTTTAATTAAAGTAACAAATTTCTATTATTCCATCTATAAGATCCTAAATCTAGGACTTACTCTCATTTAGAAATATTTTTCTGAAGCTTAATAGCAAAATATTATTTAATATTGGTATCAACAACTATCGTGCAAAAATTTAAAAGCTGGATACAGCAAGCAGAGTGAATCTCCAGATCTTCTACTTCTTATCTTTTCAGACCCTTATTCAAAGAGAACATGTGTTGTCTGAAATATTCAAAATTCTCTCCATGATAAAATACTATGCTTACCAGCTCGTTTGGGTATCTGAGGAGGATTGGCTGTACTGGAACTCCTGGAATGAAGGCTCCTATAACCACATTGAAATGTAGGACATGATTTTTACATGAAGAAAAAATTTACAATAAGAAAAAATGTACATAATATAAACACACTTTATACTATGTTTAAGAGAGCAGACATAACAAGAAATATTTATTAAAAGTTTTTTCCAAAGTAAGGGTTTTTAAATTGAGAATTATCTCAGGAAAACATTAAAGGCTGCACCTAAGCCACTTGAAACACTTTCTGCCATTTTATAAACACCCATTATTCAAGAAGATTTTTTTTTTGTATTTTAAGAAAGGGTCTACAGGATTTTCAGGGTCTCAGTACTAGATAGGACTCAGTGATCCTCCTATTTACAGCCTCCCAAGAGCTGGGATTACAGGCACACACCACCATGCCCAGTCTCAATTGCCATCTCAGCACGCCGTGAGTGCGGGGCCAGCATGGCAGGCCCGGGGATCGATCCCCCAGCCCCTTCACCTGTTTACAGGTGCTTTAATATGCTGAGCTATTTGGCCAGCCCAAAGAAGATTTTTTTAATGATAAATAATATCTACATGAAATCAGAAGCAAAAGCTCCTACACTGGCTGGAAGTGAGTCATAACTGTGGCACCAAACATAGAACATTTTAAGGTGCTACCAAGTTAGGAGGAAGGCTGCCTTCTGGACTGCCTTCCTCATGTTCAGGAGAGAGTCAACCTGGAAAGGCAGCTGAAGATGTTATAAATCATAATGAAATAGGATTTCTATGTCGTAACATAGGACCCCAGGGATCTATGAGATGCTTTTAGAAGACAAGAAACATATGGTTTCTACGCATACGCACTCACACACACACACACACACACACACGGATGCCCAGAGACGGAACACTCTAAGGAAAAAGGGCTAATGATAACCAAAAAGGAAGAAAAAGAGTAAGTTCTGCAGAATCACAATATTAAAACTTTTCATCAGAAAAGAAGAAATGCTCAGAGAAAACGGAAGAGTGATTTTGTGCACTGCTATCCAATCATTTTTGAAATCTTTCGTACTTTGTTACAATACATAATTTAATTTATCTCACCTGGTTTAAAAGTAATCAAACAGGAGCGATTAGTACAAGTACCTTCTGGGAAAACTAGTATCTTGGGAAAAAAGGAATAGATTTAATATTTCAGTCTAATTAATAGATTACCTCTTTACTTGCTTTCTTATGGCTTCCCAAACAGCTGCCAATGCTTTAAAAACAAAGATGAAATAAAAGACTAACACTTGATTCTAATGAAAGCTAGGCAATGTTACTGTATTCAATTTTCTTCTAAAAGAAATGTAGTTTGATCATTAATTGTAAAATGGATCAAAGCTTTGAATAGGGAATATACATAATTCACAAATACAGTCTATTTATTTCTTAACAATGTTTTTATTAATGATCTGAGTAAGTTTTAAAGAAGATATAAAGCACTATAAATCATAGTCAAAGTATACATTAGGTATACTATATTACTCTATATTCTTTACCAAACAATCTCTGGTTTTGTTTGTTTTTCCATTAAATGATATTTGTTCCTACTACTCATAGTTGAGGGACATCATACCCATAAAGAAGAAAATGTTTGCAATGTGTTTTAGGTTTAGCTGAATTAGATGGCATATACAATACAATTTATTATCATTTTTTTCTGAGGAAATGTCTTAGCTTTTAAAATACACCAGTACCTTGGCACTCATTTATTGGTTCAGGGAAGCACAAGAAATACCAAGGTAAGCACCAAACACCTTGTTTTGGTTGTGAAGGGCGGAAGTCACAGGGAGTTCCACTGACAAATTCTACGTTGTGGGTGGAATGCCAAGCAAATGACCCAGTAGAGGGACAAAATTTTCATGTCAAATTGCACTGAGTACCAAATGCAAGAAGTTTCAAAGCCGTCGGGGACCAAGCTATAACCATATTACTTCTCACTTTCCATGTGAAAGATGTGAAGTACGGATAGTTTCTCCATTAAATAAAACAGTAGCTTGGTTTTTCAAGCTTTTCAAAATTTTCCAGGAGCAAACCTCTTAAGAACCTAAAATAAAAACAAAGTTCCTGCACTCAACACTCATAGAAGTGAGTAATGTGTATTTTATAATAGAGAGGGAAACTTTATTGGGCTAAATCACTATAATTACATGTTGTTTATAAAATAAACATTCTGAATAGTGTAATTTCATCCTCCAATTAAAATAGTTTCCGATGTCAATAAGATAAAACAGCAAATGTTTTATTCAACAGATATTCTACAGTTATGTTAACAATGAATATGTCTAAAGTAAATCATAAAACCTCAGTGCTGGAAGGGACATTAAAAGTCACCTAAGAATGTTAGTATTTAAATTCTTTGTATAATACCCCTCACCCACTCACATGGTTGCTCAGCCAATGCCTGAATTCTGTAGAAACACTTTTCAAATCAGACCATTCTGCCTGCCTGTGAATAGAACTCCTTTTCTTAACTTGAGCAAAATGAGCCAGAATCTACTTATTATCTCCTACGGATTAATTTTACAGACAACATGTTTAGATCCACAAATGCTCAGTTCAAATGCAAATCCTCCTCAACTTTTAAATAATTCCTCACATGTCTTAGTTCTTAAAACCTCCTGGTTGGTCTTATTCTTTTTGGTGCTTTTAAATGTCCATGTCACCAAGGGTGGCCAGATCACTATGGACCACCAGTCTGTTGGAGGTCACTTGTTTTTCTCTGGACAAAAGTAGAGGGATACTTATTAGAAGCACCCCTGGTCTGTTATGTAATAAATAATGTTCTCTTTTATACACAAGAGGTATTCTGGGAAGGAGGTGGTGTGATGGCAAAGCAATAAAAGTCTTACAATGATTTTTGACATGCCTGTGGAACTGTTATTTAAATATACTTCCGAAAAAATACAAGACCTTACTTACTTTTTCGGTAAACCCAACGCATTATTGTGATTATCTGGGCTTAGTATCTCACATATTAAACATTATGATATATTCATATTGTATAGTGGTAATTAAGGTCAGAGAGGATCAATTTTCTGCAACCAAGTAAAAATTGTTTCACAGAGTGTGCTGAACATAAAAGAATGATACATCTAAGCCCATGGACTGTAGTATCTTATGGAAAAGAGGACTTCTTAATACTCACTAGTTCACTTACCCTTGTACCCACTGCACTAAAGATACCTACTACAGGTGGTCACAGATATTTTTATTTGTATATCTCAATAAGTCTCTGGACGTATCATAAACTCTCAATATGTTTAAATAACCATCTACTGTATTTTACCTGGGGCCATTCCCCTCCCGATGTTGCTCGCTTTATTATTTCATTTATGGTATTTTTTCGGGAATCTGGATCTACCCGGGACACCAGTACTGGCTGCACAGCCCGTAGCAGTCCTTTAAAACAAATACAAAATCACAAGTCACTTTTTGGCTAAAGTCACTGCAGCAATAACATGAACTACACCATAAAACAAATGTTATGGAAAATAAATTAACAAACACTCAAAGTTTACTAGAAATCAGCTTCTAATTTCAAAAGAAGAGATGAACATTTATACCAAAAAAAAATTTACTAATTTAACAGAAATAGGCAGTAAACATATGCAAATACTCAAATGCCAAATTTCTCTGTAATGTATTCTTCCTGAACCTAAATTAAACAATACAATATCATCTTAAGTTTGAGAAATATCCTGAAAAATGATTTTGCAAACTCACAGTATACATAAAAGGTAATTGCTACTCATCTTACTAAAACATTTAGCATGACAATCTTCTGCATAACTCCCTAGCACATACAGAGCAAGCTTCAATTTATGAAAGATACGTTCCTTCATCATATTTCAGGAAAAGGCCATAGCATAGAATGCGTGGTAGTTCCACTAAAGAAAAATGTGTCCAGGCTGAACGACAAAGCTGCAAGAACTGCCAGTACTTCTGCAGTGCACCGGGGCCACCCCACGCCTTCACACCCACTCCCCCATCACTCTGTGCCTGCAGTAACCTGGGGCATCAGGGAGCGTTACTTGGACACCAGTTCCTTGGGGAGAAACCACAGCATCTGGTACAAAACACACTTCACTTGCTTCATTGTTTTTTACGGCAGGAAAGCACTTACTGTGTCACATCATAATTCTCAAAGAGTTACACAGAGGTCCCTCATGGAGATTTGGAGAGGAATAATGAAAAAAACAGTTAGAAGAACAGATTTGGTACATTGATCAGCAACTACACCCAGGAGCAATTCAGGAAACAGTATGGAATCTGGGCTTTGCACAGATTCTTTGGTTAAATTCTCTCTCCAGAAAAATAAAAAGTATCAAACTTGTCCAGTTTGGAAAACTAGTCTTCCTGGCCCCATATGAAAAAGCAAATATAAGACAGTTAGTAAAATGGTAAGGATAAGTTTTGAAAAGTCTGACAAAGCTCCAGAGAAAGAAAGTCACATCTTTCTTCGTAAAAATTCATTCCTTCCATGTAGTGCTGTATAGAAAAATTTGACAGGCTTTGTTTTAAAATTTTTAAAAGAGTTTATCAAAACCATATATGATTAATTTAAAGCATGAGTATAAAACTATCTTATGTGTTCCTTTATAAGTACTTACTGCCAATCAGGGGGACCTGTGCATTTTCACTGCGAGATAACAGAGAAGGTAGCCCAGCCACGACACAGGCGATTCCATCAAAGAACGTGGAGTGAGGGGCAACGACAAAAATGGGTGCTTCCAAAGGACTCGCAATCTTGCCTTTCACAGTAACTAGGAATCCCATGGAGAAGAACATGGCACGACCCAGAAACGTCAAAGCTGGCTGAGTAATTTTCCTTTGAAAGTAAGTATAGAAAAGAGTATAGAAAAGACATAATTAGATTTACAAATTGATAGGTTCTGGCCCTAGTATGAATTGCTAAAATCAGCATGGTGGTCATCTAATATGGCTGAAACCCTTAAAACAAAGCCCATCTTCCCCAAGACCACCTCCCTCTTCTCCAGTTCAGCCCAAGATTTAATTTACTTCTACCCTTCCCGCCACCTCAGGGAAGACCCCAATCAGCCTCCTCTGGTATATCTAAACATCTCCTCCAAACTCTACTCCTGGCAAAAGGCCTCAGCCTCCCTTCGCTCCAATGGGGAGAGAATTTCTCATCTTTCCCCACATTCTCTCCTGTGTCCTCAAAGGAAATAAAGCCCCTTTCCCTTTTCCCTTCTGCCTGTTTCTCTTCTGTGCCATTCACCTAAAAAAAAACCTATCACAAATCAGAGCCAGCAGCAGGGTTTAACTTCTTATTGCTTCTAAACTGCAGTAAGAGAACCAAAACATGTCAAAGAATTTCAGGTTAAAAAATGAGCTAAGGAAAATAATAGCTAACACAGAGAGCTTTTTCTGCTAGGTGCATGGTACTATCTAAATGCTTTAAATATATTAATGTTTTGATCTGTGTCCTTATCTTATGACATACATATTATTTATTATCATTATTCTCATTTTGCAGATGAAAAAGTGAGACACAAAGAAGTAATTTGCCCTAGAATTTGTAACTTCATTTTTCTGTGATCACAAAGCGAAAACAGTGAATAATCTTCAAGATACATCCCTGCCCCCACCAAGACGTCCAAATCTGCAGCACCCTTAAAAGTAGTCATCTTGGAAATCTACATTTGTCTAATGACAGGTCTCTACTTCTTCACACAGAACTATTTTAGGGATAATTTTTAGCAAGAAATGTTATCTGTATTAATACAGCTCTTAAATGCCACCAAGAACCTTCAGTAAATTTGTCATCTCACTTCCATGGGACAGCGAAGTGCTGAAGCAATTTTGTTTTTTAACAGATTTTAAAACATTCTACCATTCAAAATTAAATACTGCACCAAACTGTGCCACGAACGGTGCTGGCCATGCAGAAGTAGGATCCAATCTCTAACTGGACAGCCTCAATCAAGTAAGGAAACAAAACAAATTCCTTATCTTAGTCACTTTTCTCTCATTGCTGAGACAAAATATCAGATACCCAAAGTTAAAGGAGGAAAGATTTCTTTAGCTCACAGTTGGTGAAGATTTCAGCCCATAATAGCTGAGGCCAAGGCAGGGTGGCACACGGCAGAGGAAAACCATGCATGACAGAAGAAGACAGCAACAGCAACAAGCGAGGAGGGAGACACGCCTCTTTCTGTCCCTTACACTGTATCATTCACTTGGATTAGAGCAGTCCCAGTTCAGTCAGTGAACTGGTCCAGCAATCACCCAGCCTCTACCTCAGTATCGCACCACCAGTCAATCACACACCCTAGATTCAGTCACCTAAGAAAAAGCCCTACGACCACATGAGCCTTGGTGGGGGAAAAGGGGGGACATTGAGACACAAGCCATATCACTCCTAAAAATGCAAAAATAAGAGGGCTACCTCAGTGTAAGAATAATCATATGGCTTTTCATGAAAAGTAAAGTAAAAGATAAACACATGTCCCTTGGTGTCCACAGAAAATTAGACCTAGGAACCCTGGAAGGTAACAACATCATGAGTTGCTCAAGTTCTTTACAGAAGAAATGTAGTTTTTGCATATAGCCTATGCACATCTTCCTAGAGTGTTTAAATCATGTGTAAGTTACTCAAATCCTAGCTAATAAAGTGTAAATGCTATACAAATAGGTGCTATACTATACTGTCTAGGGAATAGTAACAAGAAAAAGTCTACATGCTTATTATGGTTTACATCCAAAAGCCTCTTGTTCAAAGGTGGGGCTTTTGGGAGATGACCAGGCCTGATGGTGCTATCTATTCAGTTCAGCAGCTGTATGTGATGGTATGGGGAGGGGCCTGCTTGGAGGTGGGTCCCTGGGGATGTCACCTGGAAGAATGCATTCATTTCCCAGGCTCTCTCCTTTGCTTCCCAACTGCCATGGGTTGAGTGGCTTCCTTCCACCATGCCCATCCCCCATGCTATCCCTGCCTTGGTGCAAGCAAATCTTGGGCTAACCCTACTGGAACTGTGCCCCAAATAAACCTCACTTCCTTTAAGGTGTAGATAGTTAAGTATTTTGTCCCAGCATCAGGAAAGCTCATTAATGCAATGTTTGTGACAAATGTAATTTTTTTTCCCAAATAAAACCCAGAGAAATGGTAGGCTAACTCTTCCTCACCCATGAGGTATCTGAGGAGAGTTTTAGATATGAGAGTTCTTATTTCCTTATCTCAGTATTCTTGTAACCACAGGGGGAGGAACTATTAGCAACTGGACTCTGAGGAAGTTTCTATGACTTTTATTTCACAGTAAGGAGAAGTGAGACACAGAAAACAAAAGTACATTTTCAGAGGGCACAGGGAAATGACTGTACCTCCCCTTCTTCCCCTTTAGTTTAGAGATGGGACCTCTCTTTCTAAATATATAAAAACACATCTCCTCATTGAATTTCAACTACATTTCCAAATACCCCACATTCAGATACACTAAGCATTTCTATTTAAATGTTTTTTAATAAGTCTAAAAGCTTGGAGCCACATAACTTCAACGTGACCTATTTGACAGGGGGCAGAGAAACTGATTAAATTGGAAAGAGTAAACTTTAAATAACATTTATTCTATTTATTTTATAAATACATAGGATATTCTTTCTATCATCCTGGGTTTTCATCAGCCATTGTCAGTAAAATAATAATTTTAATAATAATCTAAAAAATAAAGTAAAAGATAGGCATCACTCGGAGTCCACGGAAAATTAGACCTAGAAGCCCTGGAAGGTAACAACATCTTGTGTTGCTCAAGTTCTAATCTAAGAAAGACAATCTAAAAGAAACTGGTAAATCATGAAAACCATTCCTTAAAGTATTGTCTTTATACTGCATCACTTTGAGCTATAATAGAAAAAAGTATGATTTGCGAGGACTGTGGTTTCTCTGGGGCATTTTCGGTGTTGGATTTGTTTCCGTTTCAAGTCAACTTTCTGTCTGATAGTGACATGTATTCACTAGAACATGAACTGAAAAGAAAACAACATGTTTCCTTTAAGTTGCTAGAATGACATTTCTCGAAAAACAATTTGGAGGACATATGCACATTTGAGATTTGGATGAAAGAAACACACATTTATGTAAAGAAAAAATGCTGTTCACAATTTCAGAGAGTTCATCAGTGCCTTAAAACAAATTTATGAACTTGGACCCAATGTGCAATCCACAGTGTCCAGTTTAAAAACCCCCAACTTCGAGACCAACTGATGGCAATAGCTTGACTCTGCCCAACAGGAATGACTTTTGCCAGTAGCTTTGTTCGCTCACAATCCACTTCTGCATCATCCGCACTGGCTATTGCTTGGGAAGCCATTTCTTTATGCTTCAATGCCAACACTGGAAAAAGCCAGGCCAGAACTAAGGAGATGGCTCAGAAGAATAAGTGCTTGCCTGGCAAGCGCAAGGGCCTGAGTTCAATCCCCGGTTCCGCCAATAAATAAATAAATAAATAGCCAGGCCATACTGCTAAATTATTAAATTGTCATTAATAATAAGTGTTAACATAATTGATAAAAATACAATTGATTCATTTAATTATATCTCTGCAGAAAGCATGTTGCTAATTTAGGAGGACAAAATAGAAAATGAAAAAGAAAGCATTTTGAGTAATGGTTTCAGTTATACTAAAAATGTATCTTCCAGAACAAGGGGGTACTATTTTTTTGTCAGCAATATAGAATATACAATCTTTTAAAATTATAAAAATTAGAACTAAAAGAGATTATGAGAATGTACTTGTACAATCATTTCTATATAAATAAGTTATCAAAATTGAGTAGGCAGCAGTAGCTAAAACTGATCTGTGATTACATCTTATAAAACCACTTTTAAATCTTTATTTACCTAATACATGGACATAATTATTTCTTACCTTCTCCAATCAGTTACCGGGTGGGTCAGCTTTTCAGGACAGCATGCTGTTGAAACTGCGGCAAATGGCCATGCCAGCAATAATATTAATCCAACCAATAAAGCACGAAGTGGAAGCAGAATAATTCCAAGAAGAAAAATCTGAAAGTCAAAATTGATTAAAAGTAGACAATTAAGGACTGGCCAGATAGCTCACCAGATTAAAGCTCCTCCTTAGGCAAATGCAGTGACCTGGGTCCAATTCAGGGCATGCTGTTGGCCCCACCCCCGGGGTGCACTGAGACCGTTTGAGACTGGGCAGGGTGGCACACGCCTGTAATCCCATTGCTTGGGAGGCTGCAAACAGGAGTATCACAATGAGTCTGATCTGTATAATGAGACCCTGTAGACCCTATACTAAATACATTAAAAAGTAGATAAATTAATCAAAAGATAGATGAATAGACATTATTTTAAAATACTGCTAACAAGCAGGAATATGTAATGGAAAAGTTTTATGCCATTTATGTATTTACTCAAGAATGAACTTAATACTACCCTATACCAGGACTCAAGCACAAAGAAAACTAAGATATGACATTTGACCTCATAAAACCTACCATCTGCAACAAAAACAGTGAAGAAATCCATAAGACAATCTGATGTATATATTAGTGCAAGTCAAAAAAGAATGCTAGAAAAGATGTGCATTTCACAATTCCACAATTTGCTTATTGATTCTACTGTTAAATATTCTAGTTATTTCTAACTGGCCTATTGTGAATAAAGTCACTATGAACATTCTTATACAAGTTTTTTTCTGCAGATAAATATTTTCATTTCTTTTAAATAAATACTAAACATGGAACTACTATATCTTAAATGTTATTTAACTCATAAGAAAAGTACTAGTTTCCCAAAGCAATTGTATCATTGGAAAGCATCACTGGTAATGTATGAGAATTACAGCTGCTGTACATCCTGGCCAACAATTAGTAGTTGTTATGGCTTAGATCTAAAATGTCCCCAAGTCTCGTGTGTCTGGAAGGTGACTGGACCATGATGGCAGTATACTCACCAGGGGACTCATTCATTGATTTCACAGCTGACTGTGTTGCTAGGAGATGGAGCCAGGCTGGAATGGTCATTGGGGGTGCCCTGGAAGTGCGTATTCTGGTTCCAGGCTCCTCCTCTCTCTGACTCCAGCTGGCACAGAATGAGCAAATTTCTTCTGTGATGCCCGTCGACCATGCCTTTTCTGCATGGAGCCAGTCAAGTCTGGACTGACATAACTGGAAAGTGGGCACCAAATAAACCTCTCTTCCTTTAAGTTATGGATGCCAGGTATTGTGTTTCAGTAAGGGATTGACTAATACCATAGTCTTTCTTTAAAAATCATCTCTATAATTCCAGAATTCTGGGAGGCTGAGGCAAGAGGACAGCAAGCTTGAGCCCAACCTAGGAAATTTTTAAAAACCTATCTCAAAATTTAGAAAGGGGGCTTGGTTTTGGCTCAGGACAAGAGCCCTACATTCAATTCACAGTACCAAAAATACAAAAAATAACTCACTCTACTAAGATAAAATTTACATGGAAATGTACCTATGTTTATAGTCAAAAGTGTATCTCCATATAATTATCACTGATCATTCATCTACTCTTTTATTCTTGTCAATACCTCATTGTCTTATACTGTAGTTTTGAAATAAATATTGAAGTCAGATAGTGCATGTTTTTTCACCTTCTACATTTTGATGGAGGTTGTTCTAGACTGTCTGTTTTTCTGTATAAACTTCAGAATTCATCCGTCAACTTACATATCAAACATACAGTTAGGATTTTTATTGAGACTTAAAGGAATCTACAGATGCACTTAGGATATATCATTTTAATCATATTGATTTTTCTGATTGATAAACATGGTGTATCTGTGGTAAATCTTCATAAGTTTCTAAGAGCAATATTCTGTTGTTTCCAGTGTAGCAGTGTTTTGTGGTTTTAACTTTCCTAAGTATTTAATATCATTTATCGCTGCTACTCATGAGATTATCTATTTGACTTCACTTTGCAATTGTTTGTCGTGAGGGTATAAGTATACATAAAACTAATTTCAAGTTTTGGTCTTATATTCTGTGACTGAGATACTTCACTTCTAATAGTTCTTTGCAGATTTCTTAGGAAGTACTCCATATACAATCTGATCATTTTGAATAAAGACAGGTACTTTTCTTTTTCTCTAATCTGCATGCCCTTCTTTCTCTTTCACTGCACCAGCTAGCACTCCCAAAATAATGTTAAATAGAAGTGGTGACCAAGGTATTTATCTTGATGGAGTTTGTTCTACAGCTTTTGCATATCTGTATAAACTTTAGAATTTGTCAACTTATGCACAAACACACAGTCATGATTTTTATTGAAACTTAAAGGAATCTACAGATGCACTTAGAAGGATATATCATTTTAATAATATTTATTATTATTTGGGGAAACAAGTTTAATTTTTCATCATTATATTAACTGTAGGTGTTTCACAGATACCCTGTATCAGATTCTGAGAGTTCCCTTTTATTTCTATTTACTGAGAATTTTTTTTTTATCATCGGGGGTTTTTGAATTTTGTCAAGTAGGTTATCTCAATTTCTGCTCCAATTACAATATGTTTGGCTAACATGGTGAGTTATTATAAAATTAAAATTACTGTATGTGAAACCTAATTTGTATATTTCCAGGTGAAATCAAAATTGGATGTGCTACATTATCAATATATGACACATCATATATTTCTCTGTATGATCTGCTCAGACTAAGAGTTCTTATATCTATGACCATGAAGGATTATCTTAGTCATTCTCTCATGACTAGGATAAAATACCCACCACCCCAACTTAAAGGAGGCAAGCTTTATTTTGGCTTCTGTTTTTAGTCCACAGATACTGGCTCCTAGGAAGGCAGCACAGCAGAGGAGCAAAGTGGAAGAAAAGCTGCTCACACCACGGTGACCGGGAAACAGCAAGGGAGGAACAGGGAGGGCAAGACATCCTTCCAGGTCATGTGTCCAGTGAGCAGTCTCTTCCCACCAGACCCAGCCTCCTAAGACCAAGTCAGCTATACAGTCCCCATGATTCAATCACCTTTCAAAAGCCCCATCTAGAAGCACAGGAGGCTTTGGGAGGGGACAAGCAGAAATAACCAGTGCTCTTTAATTCCTGATACGGATCATTTATATTTTCTCTCCTGTTTTACCAGTCTTGGCAGGGCCTTATCAATTTTATCAATCTCCTGTTCTATTAATATCTTAAGTAAATGGTAAACATTTGCAAACACACATAAGAAAAAGCAAGCTGCACAGGCTGCATTCCAATGTAAGTGTAAGGACAGACTTGCAAAGCCGTCTTCTGGGCAGCTACCAGGCAGATTAAATACTGACACACTGCTGGAAAGGGGTTCCTCTGATCCATTCTTGCCCATCTAATGGCTTCCAGGTTGTTGATTTTTCACAAAGACTGGAGGGTGTTCCCTTCTAAGGACTCTACTTACTGACGATGATAAATAAGAAAAAAATAAGTTAAATTATCACAAAGCCTACTGCTCTTATCAAGAGTCAGCATTTTTTCTTGAGTAAACCTGCAAATGCTGAAAACTTCTGGTTAATTTTCAGTTACGAATAAGTTAATTCTATTTTCATTTTTAAAATTTTTGCCAGTGTTCTCATTGCCTTTATGGAGAAAATAATTTTCAGAAGTCATTACTTCACCATTGATGTCCCCTCTCAATTTCTTAAAATCTGTTTAGATTGAATAATTTATGGCATTCTGTCTTCAAGATCACTGTCTCCCTGTTAGCTCCTGTAATGAATTTTTCACTTCAGCTATAATACCTTTGGGATTTAGAATGTTATTTAGTTCTTCTTTATAGTTTCTCTTTCTCTGAAAGTTCCCTCTAACTATGTACTTATTAGGACATCATTTTCCTTTAAGTCCTTGGGGATTGTTACAGTAGCTACTTTAAAGTATTTATCTATAAATTCCCACATGTAGTCATTTTATGGCGTTTTATAAACCCACCTTTATAGTTCATTTAGGCCTATTTTCCTCTGACCATGGATCACTTTTTTATATTTCTTTGAATTTCTAATATTGGTTCTATCCTGACCTTTTTTTTTTTTTTTTTGCGGAACCGGGGATTGAACTCAGGTCCTTGCGCCTACCAGGGAAGCACTTATTCCACTGAGCCATCTCCCCGGCCCCTATCCTGACCATTTTGAATACTACATTGCAGATATTTGGATTCTGTTATTTTCCTCTGATGATTGTTTTTCTTTTTCATAGCAGGTCCTATTGGCTGATTATCCACTTAGTAGAGGCTGATTTCACACTTTGAGAGGGGAATTTTTGGAACTGCGCCTAGTCTTCAGCCACAACTTTTCTCCTAAAGCATTTTGTGAGGTTTTATACACAGCCTGAAGTATCTACTGAGATGCTCTCATTAAGCAGAATTCCAGTTGTGCCTCCCACATGGTAGTCACCAATTGAAATGTCTACTCTACTCGGCTTCTTCATCCTTTCTGTGCCTATAGCATCCTTGAGGACTCTCGTTATGACTTATCTCTATATGTCACCCCAAAGTCTCAAGCAGTTGTAGGTGAGGCTTTTCAGAGATGGCTGGGTCTCTAGTGTGTAAATATGGATTATAGGTATGTGTGTAGCAAGTGGGTTAGTTTGTAATTGGTTTAGTATTATTTTGGGTGTGAATAATGGTAAGGTCCACCCTGGGTATGGCTGCCACCAATAAATAGGCCTATATCCTGTTGGAAATGCAAAAGTGAAAAAGAGGCTTGCTGCTTCCCTGCCTCCTGCTTGGCATGCCATGAACTGTTTCTGCTCTGTGATGCCCCTCTGCCGTGCTGCTCTGCTGCAGAATCAGCCGACTGTGAACTAAAACCTCTACAAACTGTGAACTAATATAAACCTTTCCTCCTTAATTTGTGGATGTGGGGTATTTTGCATCAGCAATGAAAAAGTGACTGAGACAACTCCTTTGCAAATACACAGTTCAGAGATCAGCCAAAGATTTAAGAATTTATATATCAGTTTGGGGAACTCTTTATCTTTAGCTTTCTACTTCATGGGACCGTCTGCTTCAAGTTCTTTCCACCCCGTTTACCCTAAACTCTGTCCTCTGAAGCAACAGACCAGTAAGACAGCCTTTCTAGCAATCCCTGCCCATGGTACCACAAGGAAGCTCACAAGAAAAATGGTAACATGCAATTTCCCATAGTATGGTACTATTCTTTCAAGGAACAGATCTCCTGTTTTTTTCTCTTTGTTCTCTCTCCAGGTTATCTTCATATAGGCTCATATACATAATCAGGGTTTATACTTGTGATATATGGAAGGATTGTCTGATTTAAGCTACTCCACTATTTCTGGGGCCAAAACTAACCTTGCTGAATTATTCTTCATTTGAAACCTGACACAAATACAGTAAAACTTAGCTATAACTTTATTTGTTATCACATAATATCTAGATATAGACATAGATATATAAGGTAAAACATGCAGAGATTCCAGAACTACTACACAGATGGGATCTTGGATCAAGACCTGGAGGCTGCATATACATGATAAATACATTGTTTACTTGGGGCGGATGTTGAGATGGCACGTGGAAGAATAACACTATGGGGAAGATGAGAGGACTAAAATTCCCAAGCTATGGGATGATCATTGGCTGAGATTCTCTTCCAAAACACATAATTGCTAAGAAAATCAAGGGATAATCTTGACTGCTAGAAAGAACCATAGCATAGACACTGAAGAAGGAGCTGAAATGAAAGTAAAATATATTCACATACATCCACACTTGACAATCAGTATGAATTTTAACTAGTCAAATTGTCAAACACCAGCTCTTTTTCCCTACGCCAACTGCAAAGTCTGCAACAAATAGTAGTACCTAGCAATAAATGAATACTGAAGTAGCTCTTTGACAAATGAAGAGGCTGCACCACCATAATTCCATTTGTAATATGTCATCTCTATGGAGAAGACTCTCGGGTTTATTTTCTGGTTTCCCTTCACAGCACTTATTAAAACACCCAATTACATAGATTTTAGGGAATTAATTTAACTAAATTAAATCTTGAATGACAGTCAACATACTTAGAAATGTTTCAGAGACTTCAAGGTACGACAAAAACATCTATACATTTAAAATATATAAAAATTGACTTTTTAAAGTTTTAGTTGCTTTACGAAGAGGTATTTCTACATCCTGATCTTCCTCTTCCTGTGTCAACCTCCACTCCAACCAGACACCCTATCTACACTCTGAGGCCACCACCCCTGCCATCCAGCTCAGTCCAGCCATGAACCTGCCCTCGCTGCACAGAACAGCAGTCTTAACCCTGAGTGCAAAGACTGCAAGCACTGTAGTACTTCAATCTGAAATAACAATTTGTGAGATGGATGGGGAAAAAAAAAATCAAAACATTTTTTCCTCCTTTCCCTATAAGCCACACAGGACAAATGCAATTTGCCAACTTTCTCTCCTCTCAGTGACTAATTTCATCAAAGAGGAAGTCTGAAGAGTGTAACTGCGATGGGCAAAAGCAGTCCTTCACAAGGCAAAAGAAACTTCCTCCCGTGTGAAAAGTCATTTTTAACAGCAGAGACAGTCTACCCTAGCTCTCATCCTTGAATCTAGAAAAGTAGTTGGGTGAAGACTGATTCAAGATCCACCAAACACTTGAACACCTTCAGCTCACACGTAGTTATCTCTTTTTTGCATTTCTAATTTGCTAGCCTGAATGTCTCTGCTCAGCTAACTCATTCCAGCCATACCTGTTATTCTAATCCCAGCCCTCGGATCTCTGTCTTCTCCCTCTACTTATCCCAGACCAACTCCTCTCCTTCCCTAAGGCAAGAAAAGGCTCCTCCAAACCCACCTGACCGAGGCAGTTCGGCACACCACAATGCCAAAGTCAAGCCAAAGAACCCGTCAGGTGCATCCTCCCTTCTCAGGAAAGGGAGGTCTCCACCTGTCTGGCTCAGCCTCTTCCTCCAGGGTCCTCGCGCGCAGCCTTCTCTGCATCCTCACTCCCGAGCCGGCCCCTCCAGCCCCGCAGCTCCGCCCGGGCAGACCCGGGCCCAGGTCCCTCACCTGCACGCTCTTCGAGGCGCTGATCCGCGTTTGCTGCACAAAGGGGTTGGGCACCGGCGGTGGGAAGAAGGACGCCTGCCGGGGCACCATGGGCGGCCGCAGCCCCGCATCCCCGACGCCCGCTCCAGGCACTGTGGCCGCCACCGCCGCCGCCTCGGCGCACGGGTTCATTGTCAGGCCCGGAGTAGAACCCGAGCCTAGCCTCTGGCGCGGGAGAGAGCAGCAGCCGGGACTGAGTCTCAACCCTGCCGCGGAGTCCCCCACCCAGGCGCCGCTGGGGGCCTCTGCGCAGGCGCCAGCTACCTAGCGACAGCCCCGCCCCTCCGCTCTGGATACGCCCCCTAGGCCTAGTCACCTCCCCTTTAGCAACATAGCCCCGCCCCCTAGGAGATGCGCGCTTCTCTCGTAAGGATGCCCTCATATAAACTTCCAAATGAAAAGCACCTTAGACAAAGTCCAGCCTTTAAGATCAGGAAAACCTGAGTTTTTCAATTTTGCCCATGATGGCCAAATCACTTAACTCAATAAACGTCAGCTGCCTTTGTAAAATAGGCAGAGATCCACACAACCTGGATTCAGCAATGCCAGTTTCCCTGGTGTATTCCTTCTTTTTTTTTGTTTTTTGTTTTTTGTTTTTTGTTTTTTGTTTTTTGTTTTTTGTTTTTGTTTTTTTGTTTGTTTTTTTTTTTTTTTTTAGGGAAGGGTCTACAGGGTATTTAGAGTCTCACACTAGATTGGACTCGTAGTGATTCGCCCATTTACAGCTTCCCAAGAGCTGAGATTACAGGTGTGCGCCACCACACCCAGTCTCAATTGCAGTCTCAGAGTGCCCCCAGGGGCAGGACCGGCAAGGTAGGTCCGGGAATCAAACCCCCAGCCCCTGTGTCTGCTTGCTCCGCTGAGCTATTTGGCCGGCCTTCTATTCCTTTAAAGGTGAAATAATACATCCAGAGGGAGTGCTACTATCTGTGCTGGATTTCTGATGTGTGTTCTATTTTTATGCAAACCAACTTAAGTTGGGTGTTAATATAAAAAATTGACACAGGGAGTGAAATCTCTTCCACTTAAGACATACACTGACAGAAACTGGTTCTCCAGAGAAGTGAGCTAGTACTAGAAATTAGAGACAACAGTGTGGGCTTCGCAGCCAATAAGGAATCTGACCCAAAGGAAAAATGATTTGGGTGGTGGTTCCATTTTGATCCTCTGTGTGGGTTAAAGAGGTGGGGATGCGGGTTGTCCCAGGACCTGAAATCACCAGGAATGAGAATGAAAGAACAGAGGTGGTAAATCATTCATTGCTACCAGAGCTGGCCAGAATGAAACTACTGGGCTATGAGATAGCCATTTCTCCAGACCTACTGAGTATAGAATCTCAGATTCTTCCAACCCTACAAGATAGATGTGCAGCCTTGAGTTAGTCCTTCACTTCTGTGAGCTTCTTCTCATTTGCAAATGGGAAATCGATTCCCATCCCATAGGATTGCAGTAAGGGTCACATAAGGTACACACGTGTCATGATCACAGAAAAGCATTCAAGCAATGGCATGTTGGGGAGCAGCTGAATTTTCTCAGTGCAGCAGAGAAGCACAGTTACAGTATATTACGACCATGAGACAAGCGGCCCAACCTGCAGGATCTTCAAGTAGGGCTGCACAATACCTGCAAGAGCTGATTATGCTATGGCTCTTAGACTGCATACCTGCAAGAAGGCTGCCTATCCAGAGCACTCAGAGCCCAAACCAGTGGACAGACTACGGGGAAAGGATGACCTGAGAGCCCTTACAATCACCTCCCGAGAATCCTGTCCACGTTTCCTCCTCTCCCTTCCCCACCAGCCCAATGAGGGGAGATCTGAAGCAGTAGATCACCAGACTATCTTGGCTGGCAGGTTCTTCTGAAAAGTCCTAGGCTGATGGGCACGATGACACATACCTATAGTCCCAGCATTCTAGGAGTCTGATGCAGAAGGATCACAGCCTGGACAAATTAGCAATTTTGCAAGACTCTATCTCAAAAACCAAAACTAAAACACATCAGCCCTTCAATTTGACAGATTTCTATAGAGGAGAAAGGTAGGGTGAGCAGTCTGGCGGGAAAGAGTAGAGTCACTCATTAAAAGAAACTATGCTTAGAAAGCATGTACAGGGCCAGTGAGATAGCTCAGCAGTCTAAAGCACTTGCTTAGGCAAGCTTAGGCAAGCACAGTGACTGTGGTTCAATCCTCAGCACCACATGCCATGCCAGCCCCTCCCCCAGGATGGATTGAGCTGGCCCCAAAAGAAAAAAAAAAAAAGAAAGAAAGAAAGAAAGAAAGAAAGAAAGAAAAAAGAAAGCATGTATGTTGTTCTCTCCCATATGTGTTTACTTGGAGAGATTTGGGTGGTGGTAGAGGGTCAGGCTGCTGATTGGCATTCAAGGGTAAATGCTAAAGTTCCTCCTCTGGGTCATCCTTTAGTTATGACATAGTTCTTAACTATCAGCTACAGGACCCTGGGCAAACCACTTTTCTCTGGGTCTAGTCTCCTCATCAATAAGATTCAGCTGGTTAACAGCCTCCCTTTTAGGAGGTTATAAAGTTTAGATTACTTGGTGCCTGTAAAGTGTCTGTCACATTGTAAACCCTCCATTAATCATAGGGGAAAGCACTGTTGTTGTAGGTTGTCAGTAGTAGTATTTGAATTGGTATCATTGTTAATGAAAAAACTGAGATTAAAAGAATGCAAGCCTTAGACATACCCCATTACTAACTTAAAGGAATGCTGCTCTGTCAAGGCTCTTTGCTCACTCAGGCTGGAAGGACAGGAGCTCACTCACCCTGAGGTTCTCTTGCTGTTTATTTTGGCAGCTCTGGCCTTCTTGGGGAATATTGTCTATTCCCTGTAGGGAGCAGAAATTTATTCTTTTTTAAGTTTCTTCTTCAGATGCCACTGTAGCTCACTCTGGGCTCTGCTAAAACAAGGCAAAGACTGCCACTCAATTGGAGTCTTTATTTATACTTGTTGCCATTTCCCATGGGGAACTGTTGAAGGGGGAGGCAGAAAAGGCTGAGCTGGAAGCCATGGCTTGGGTTCCTCCAACCAGTGGAGGCTGAGACTGGGTACGGGTCCTAAATAGAGTGAGTGAGGAAACCACCACTATGTGGGTGGAAATGCATTGTACACTTTAGACAATCCGAGTCTTCTATTAAGAGATGTGATAAAGTAGGAAAATCAGAGGCTCAAAAGAAAGAACAAAGTGCATACCAAGCAAACTGCTAACACAGGGAAAGTTCTAAGGCAGCCAGCAGTGAGAAGCCAGGTGTTTAAGGCAGCCACCTGATCATTCCCCTATCCCACTGCTCTATGCCAGGCTGTTGGGCCACCAGTGCCCTCTTGAGATAGTCTCTGTTGGCTCCAAAGCTTCTGTAAGCCACAGAAGGTTGTGGAGGGAGAAGATCCAAAGGGTGGCAGCACCAGGGCAGCCCAGAGCAGGGCTGCATTGGGAAAATCAAAGCATCTCTTCAGGGGTGGCTCTAAAGGGTGGTGAGATTGGAGGGGAAAAGGGGCACTTGCAAGGGGTATGACAGCACCTTTCTTTAGGCACAGAGTGGAGCCACTCTCTGGAATCTTAAATTACCAGGCAAGGAGTGAGTGTGCTATTTAACTAAGAGCTGAGAACAGGGCTGACAGGCCCTTTCAGGTCCTCCTTGGGGTTCAGGACCCACTGTGGGGAAGGGGCAGAGATGAAGGGATAGTGGGAGCCAGGCCGGCTCAGCAACCCAGCCAGTCTGTTTTGATGCTTCCAAACTTCACGCTCTTCAGACTTTGGTTCTCCAGCTTCAGGTAATAAGCACCCTTGAAGAAGTAGCTGTGACCTGGGACAGAGAAAGGAAAGAGGCTGTGACCAGCCCATCCTGATATTCTGGTACATTGCCAGAAGGTTCCTGGGAGTTTGGCTCTCAGTGACACAGGGGAGAAACTTTTAAACCAGAGAAGTAAGGGTTCTTAATCCCTGCCTGCTGCTCCCTAACATAGGGATAGAGACATCAACTTCTTAGGGCTTGCAGTGCAATTAAAGTGGATGATATATGTTCACAAATAATAATAATAATAGTACCCTACTGAACACGAGCACTGAGCCAAGAACTTGGCATGACCAGAGGTGGGAACAAGAGCCTTTCAACCCTACCAGGACTACAAATGCCTATTATTTGGCTCACACAGTTTCTTATTTTGGGGGGGGAGGTCTTTAATTATGAATAATTTATCAACCTAGAAACATCTAGAAATGTCACAGGACAATATATGCCTTCTTTTTAAAACATTTTAGAATGTCATAAACATTTTAGAATATTTACGAACATTAAGTCCTAATTTTTACAGGCCAGCAATCATGAGATGCTGAGAAGCAACTGCTCCCTGTAAATAAACTGTGGGTCTCTGGTTCACCCCAGACCCTTCTGGTCCCTAATGTCTGGTCCTGGATGGTCCCTGAGAGTTTTGTCATCTGTGATTTGTTCCAAAGATGTATGATCTTGTTCATTTCACTTATGATCCTGGCACATAGTAGTGCCCAAGAGATGTTCGGTTATTTGGTTGAACATAATCCTTAACCTAGGCCCTGATCACTCACTGCTTTGTCTTATATCTATAAAAGTTTTTTTTGTTTTTTTTTTCAGAACCGGGGATTGAACTCAGGCCCTATGCACTTGCCACAGAAGCGCTTATTCCACTGAGCCATCTCCCTGGTCCCCAAAGGGACGCGCATATTCCACTGAGCCATCTCCCCAGCCCTATAAAAGTTTTTGTACCTGGAGTTCAGAGTTATGTGCCTGGCAAGTGGTAAGGGTTCAAAATAACCTTTGTGGAAGTGAACCGAAATCTTCTCTAAAAAGCCAAACTGAATTCATTTCCTCAGCCCTTGTCAGGTCCCAGAGGCCTCCTCGGGAATTCCATTTTCAAGCTCCAAATTCTATCCTATGCTGATATTGGCTGTGTTTCACTCAGCAAAGGAGCAAACAGAGCTGAGAGCAGGAACTTTGCCGCATGAGCAGCAGAGCATGACAAAGTTTGCCTTGTCTCCTATGGAGCCATCATTCTGCTAATAGCAGGCAGTCACTCACTAGGCCTCCTTCAAAACCCAAAGGGATCTTAATCAAACCCCAGAATGAATCCAGGGCACCAGGCCATGTTCCTTGCTCCCTGCAGGCCTCTTCCCCTCCCCGGCCCTGGCTTCAGGCCCTGCAGCTGTGAGGGGCCTTTCTAGGTCTCCCTGCCTGAG